AAAAAAATTTTTTTTTAATTAAAAAAAATAAATAAATGTTAAAAAATTTTTTTTAATTAAAAAAAGGTAAAAAAAAAATGAGATTTACTTATTAAAGAAAAGTCTGTATTTAGAATCCTATGCATATGATAAAAAATGTTCAGAGTTGCTTAAAAACTCATGTTCCCAAGAACCCCAAGAAATAGTCAAGGTCTCTAAGTTTTCTCTACACGGTTCCACCCTGATGTTATCAGTCATTTAAAAAACATGTATGAGACACACAGACAAAGGAAAGACTCTTCAAATCAGAGCACATGGGAGCTTAGCCCAGTTAACTTTGGCACCTGTGTTGGTAAGAAGAAGTAACAGGTTCAGTCCTGTGTGTCTATTTAGTCCCAAGACATTTTCCTCTTGTGTATCCCCCTTCCTGGCCCCATTTGCACACACACCCTCTTTTGTACAGGGCACCGCACTGGGGAGCAGAGAAAGATTAGCATTAATCCATCATACTACTGAATAAACAACCACAGGGCAGGTCCTAATGTCACAGGGTCATGAGCTGCCTCTCTCCACTAACAAGACAGTATGTTAAACACCGTGAGGATGATGTGGATGGAGAAAGAAGAAATTCTAGCTGGCTAACAGAAATGAATTTTGTAACTAACACAAACTTAGTCCTTGAAGTGTCAAAGCATTTAAAGGATGCTAATCATGTGTGTATAGGAATTCCCCCAAAGTTTCCTTTTCTTTTTAGTTTAAAGGAGGATATTTAACACCACTGATCCTCTTGTACTTTCTCTGTTAGTGATTAAAAGTGCCTCTTCAAGATCAGCCCATATAGTGTTGTGTCAGGTTATGGGCTCCATTAAAATCCTGACAAACAGAAATATCCTCCAAGGAGGATGGCTAGGATGGGTAAAAGGATCTAACAATAAAATCAAGGGGGCCCTTTGCAATGCTTGACTGTCTGATTCTGCCTCTCTTGTCCTGTTTCCTCTTAAGTCAGTGGGTAAACTACAGTCTGCTCCCTGTTTTTGTAAATAAAGCGTTATTAGAACACAGATGTGCTCACTCACCTATTGTGTCTTCTGCTTTTGCACTAAAACTGCAGAATTGGGTAGTTGCATCAGAGACCACATTGCCCACTAAGCCTGGAACATTGACACTCTGGCCCTTTACAAAAAAAAGTTGGCCAAACTTTGCAACTGAAATGACCATTACATGCTTTCTTTTCTCATCATGCCTCCACATCTTCTCACAGGCCCTACTCTCAGCCGATAACTTGACTTATTTTTCTGGGAAATAGAAGCCTTCAGAAAGGAATTTCCCCATTTTCCCACTATGAAATGTGCCAGCCTACCTATTTACCCTGTACTTCACCTGCCCTCCTGTGTTGGTGAGTGACATATTCACCATCCTCCCGCTGAGAGTAGATCGTGATGCTCTCTTCGCGTCTGAAGGACACGACTCCTAAAAATGCCCTCTCTCCTTCCTGCATCATCAAATTTCCCTCCATGATGGATGATTTCTAATAAAGATTAAAAGGCCAACATATCTATCACTGTAAACAAGCAAGCAAGCGATCACTCTTTAGCTAGTATCCTGTTGCTTGTAACAATTCAGAAGAGTTGTCACTCTCTTTTGAACCCAGGCTAATACAACTTCTTTCCCTACCACCATTTTGTTCCCCAAAAACCAAAACAAACAAAACAAAACAAAAGCTATGTTCAAAGTCACCAATTATTGCTGTCAAATTCAGTGTCCGTTTCAATCCATCTTATTTGATATTGTAGCAACATCTGATACAGTCTTTCTTTGCCTTCTCCTTGAAACCCCTTCACTACTCCCCAGGGTCTCCTCCTGGAGCCTGTCCTTCTTAGTCCCGTTTCCTGACTACTCATCTTTCCAGCATCCAAACATGGGACTCAGTTCCCGGATTCCTTGTTATCTTTGTTTACATCACTGCATTGTAACCTCTCTTATTCCTCGGGTTTTAAATACTGTGTACACTGATGTCTCCCAAATTCCTGTCACCAGCCTGGACTTCCCCTCTGAGCCACCAAGTGGCCAACCAGGCAACAGCACTTAGATACCTCAGGGCTACCTTCCTCCCCAGTCTTCCCAATCTCAGTAAATGACAACCCTACCCTCCCAGTTGCTCAGGCTAAACCCAGTTGCTGCCCTACCTTTGGAAAATATTCAAATTCTAACCATTTCTCACCAGTTCCACCACTAAAAGTTCCAAGACTTCTCTTCTCTGAAAACCAGTCCCTTATGGGTCTTCTGGTTTCAGCTACTTCTCCCCACGCAACAGTGTTTTCTCAACCCAAAAGACAGGATGATCTTGTTAAAATGTAAGTCAGATGATGCCATTCCTACATTCAAAACCTTCTAAAGGATTTCCATTTCATTCAGAAAAAGAAACCAAACCCCCTACCCAGCCTGTATGGAAACAATGTGACGCGGTCCCGCATCACCTCTTTGGTAGTTTCAGAGGGGGTAAGTCTCCCCCTTACCAACTCTGCTTCGGCCATGCTGAACAACAAGCCATTCTTGTTGCTTTTCCCTCAACATGCCAAGCACATCCAAGCCTCAGGGACCTTGCACTTGTATTCCTCTGCCTGGAACCTTCCTTGCTTCCTTTATTTTTTTTTTAAGTTGGTTTATTTTGAGAGTGTGTGACGAGGGGAGGGGCAGAGAGAGAGAGAGAGAGAGAGGATGAGAATCCCAAGCAGGCTCTGCACTGTCAGCACAGAGCCAGATGCAGAGCTCTAACTCACCAATTGTGAGATCATGACATGAGCTGAAATCAAGAATGAGATGCTCAACTGACTGAGCCACCCAGGTGCCCCTCTTCCTTGCTTCTTTGAGATTTCCATTCAAATCTCATTTTACTAAAGAATCCTTCCCTGACACACCTGTCTTTATAACACCTCCAGTCATTTCTTCTACTCCCTTGCCTTGCTTTATTTTCCATCGTATCATATCTTACCATCTGATATATGTTACATAATCCTCATCCCCTAGTGAATGTAAGATTCATGGCCTGTGGGGCTTTTTTGTTATGGTAGTTCAGTGCTATATTCCTAGAACTTGTAGTTCCTGACTTATGTTTGTTACTCACATAACGAAGTTACTGTTGGGTAAGTGAATGAATGAATAAAATTAGGAGCTGGGGGGTGGGGTGGTTATATATGCACAATATTAAAAGGATATAATAAATACTGGTGTTTAAGTATTTGAAAGATTGTCATATTGGATAAGAATAGACCCAGTTTCAGGTGGCTCAGTTGGTTAAGTATCTAACTCTTGGTTTTGGCTCAGGTCATGAGTTCGAGCCCCTGGTTGGGCTCTGTGTTGGCAGTGGGGAGTCAACTTGGGATTTTCTCTCTCTCCCTCTCTCTGCCCCTCCCCAACTTGCACTGTCTCTGTCGAAAAAGAAAGAGAAATAGACCTAGTTTTGGTTGCTTTTAAAGGTAAAACTAGTTCTCATGGGTTGACGTTGAATGATTTCAGAGTTTAGTGTGGTAAGGGACTTTCTAACAGTTGTGGGTCTCTAACAGTGCAAAGGCTGTCTGAAGATAACCAGCGATCCCTGTGCAAGGAAGTCTTGGAAATGAACTGGAGGACCACTTGTGAGGGATGTTTTAAAAATAAATCGCTGACTTTGGTGGAGCAGTTCCACTTGCTGTCCCCTGGGAATCTGATTTGGGCCACGTGAAGGATTTTTTTGTTTCCTTCCTAGTTGTTGGAGAAACTGCTAGATAACAATTTATCCTTGCCTGTGGGAATAGAGATGTAGTCATTGTTTGGCATGGATAGTCCCATTTTCTTCAATACCCACTCAACAAAATGGGTATCTTTTGCACAAACCATGAAGACCATAAGGTTGAGCATCCTTGTTGGCCCCTTCTCCATATTTGGTCCTGTTGCTAAGTCCATTCAAACCCTGTAGGTTGTACTAGATAAAACAAGAATCCAAAATTTTGATTGTTCCTGCCAAGAGTAACTTCAGATTTCATTAGATCATTTTCTGATATGTCACTATGAACCATTTTTTAAAGAATTTGAGCAGGAACAGTTCATAATTTGTGTTATAATGAATACACTTGTTTTCTAATAAAAGTCCTAGATTATCCTCCTTCATATTATTTTTACTTAGGTACTTTGGCAAAAAAAATGTGATACTTTATGGATCATTTCCAATCCCTGATGACATTTTAAGCTTTCTTTTTCCAGTTTATTTTTAATAAACTTTTTTTTTTTACCATATTTCATGCGACATTGAAGATGTTTTGCTAATGCCCCATAGTAACTTTCCAGCTGTGAAAAAAAAATCGTGTGATCTTCTCGTTCACCGTGTGTTTGTACATGGAATAATCTGGTGGAGTAAAAGAATTAGGAGTTTGTGTACTGGTATTTTTAGTACTCTGTATCATTTCACCCTTTTTTGTCAGAGTGGTTCCTGGCTAACTTTCCCATGAGTTTTTAACCTCGTGTGAGGCTTTGCTTATGTAACAGGAAACGGGCTGTCAGGAACAAATAGTGGCATACCAGGAGCACACTTCAGTAGCAAATGACTTAGTTTGCTCTGCCCTTCACTCTCTTAAAGTAGACTGATACACGATCTCAACTTGAAGACTTTTGCTGTGGCGTTCCTAGGTTAAAATAATACAGTTTCAACTTTGCAAAGGCAAAATATTTTACCAAGACCATGCTTTACTCCAGGCGACAGAGATGAGCTTATCATAAAGCGAATTTTCCAGTGGTGTCATGTCCTGGGACTGTGGATTTAAGTATATCTTCGCTTTTTCTCCAACTCTTAAGGCAGGAGTGATGTGCAAACTCCAGGAGAGAGATGACATCGGACGAATTGAACTGGTTCAGAAGCTGGCAAGAGAAAACTGTCAGTTTTTGCAGACAGACAAAAAGGAACAGGAGAAATCTGAACACGTAAGCCCTTTTTCTCTTGGGGATGCAGGCTTGAAGGGGTGAAAAATGTTTCTGCCTCATTGTATGTTTGAAGGAAAAAAATATTTTAAATTCTTTAGTTTTGTTTTTCCCCCCAAAAGCATACTCCTTGGTAAAAATGACAGCTGCTCAAAACTCTAAGCCAGCCGTTCATAACACTGGATTTATAAGAGAACTCTTCCCAAAAGTAAATCACATAGAAATATAAGAACACATGTAAGCAAGTACAGATGCATGTCTATTTATGATTTTGATTTGATGTCTTTTGAGTTTGACTTTGGGAATGTCAGCCCATCAGATAGTTTGTGGGGTATGAATTTTGAAAGTATATTCCTATGTACTTCTATGATGAGTCTGGGGTGGCTCTAGTTAGCAAACAGATGTATCCTGAGTTAGTAGAAATAAATGAGAGCAGAGTAACAGATTATAGATGCTTTCCCCGGAGTGGGGGAGTCAGAAGAAGAGTTTTCCCAGTATCTTCTGAATGTTTGTGTTCCAACAAAAGTTACACTGTTCAGTTGTAGTTAAACTGGAGGAAAGGGACGCTGTGCTCGGTTCTCCTGAAAGCCGTCATTCAGACTGAGCCTTAGAACTGAGATGCCTTCCGTCAGGCCAGGGCAACAATGGCACCACTTTTTTCTGCTACGCATTGTTGTCTGCTGACTTTGTGTTATTGTTTGTAAGACTTCGCTCCCAGTGCTCAACTATCCCGGATTGCTCATGAAGGGGAAAATTCCTCAGTGCTTATAAACATGTCTCCCTCTGATTTTAATTTTCCCTTGGAATTTTATTTTCACCAAAGGGGAAAAATTTGCTTCATGCCTTCTCTTCTCCAAGGCCATGAGCACAAATGTCAGATTTTTACTGAGCAGGAGAGGAGGTGAGATGTTCAATCGTGGGAGGCTGTTTAGGTCAACATAACACATCTCTAACTGCAACATCACATCATAACAAGTGGTGTCTTGAGGGGGAGTATGATTAAGCACTTTCAAAGCCTCGTAACTGAGCTGTTCAGGGGGACCATTGACTTTAAGTGAGAGTGGACGTGTCAGGAGCCTTCAGTTCACTAGGGACTATTGAAAAATTCAGGGACTTGTTTAAATTGTTAAAAGCACCCTGAAGGATGACTCTGTCAAAGACTGACTCTTAATCTCCGCCATGTCCTTAGAATATTTGGGATTAGTGTGTGACTTAAGCTTCTCAAAACATTGTTCCTTTTGATTGATTTAAATTGGAAGAGCAACAGTTTTCATTTACCATATTTCGTTGATTTCAAATTGCATGTTTCCTCCACATTTTAGCATCTCTGAAATCAGGATAAGTCTTAATGATTGATCATATGAAAACACAACCTTGTTTAACTGTGAGCATTTATCTTTCCTAGTGGTCCTTAAAATGAATGATATGTATTACAGTGAATTGCATATTCAGTTCAGTGGAACAGCGACAGCCTGAGGGTAGGGCAAGAACTTTTAAAGTCAGACAGATAGAGTGCCACTTAACCACGGCTAGAAATCATCAGTCTTATGCCTCAAACAACTTTAGGCTTATTTAAAAAGATAGCTGTATTGCGTTTGCCTTGCATTTAATTGAATCCAGAATATTATAGTTACAGTTAATGAGACTATCATATCTTCTAAAAATATAAGTGAAATCTGAACTTAGTGCTGGTAATTGTAAAGACTTGTAACTTAGGATAGAAATTTACTGGTATAAGATTTACAGCTTTGCTTATGGTTATCTACTCTCTGTTCTCTTTAATCCTTCATTTTAAGATCGTAAAATAGAACACTAAGGTTTGTTACTTTTTGCATGAATGTCGTAATATGGATGCATTACCAGCTCTGAAGTACTTATGTTCCTGAGAGAAAAAAGGTGTATAAATAAACATTGGCATTATGGCCTTTGCTACTAGACCTCACCTACTGCAGTTTAGGGTAAGGAGAGGTGAATATTCAGGATCTTTCCTCCTTAGTGATGAACATAATCTCAGCCATTCTGCCATGTCCCTCCATGCAAGATGACAGCAGTTGAACTGATCTGTTCTGCAAGCTGATATTTATACAGGGCTCTACTCTATGGATTATTTGACACTAGATGCTTATACTTTTTGCGGTAATGTATTAGCAAAAAAAAAAAAAAAAAAAAAAAAAAAAAAAAAAAAAAAAAACAACCCATCTGGTCGATTATCTTGCTCATTTACGTCTTGAGCATTTGATAGAGCTGTATACACATTGGCTTGCACTCTGAGTTCACTGTGCTCCCTGCCTTCAATCTCTTTTCAGTGGCAGTCATCTGCTGTGGCTCATGAAAACCCGGGGATAACACGCAGTGTGTACAGAGGAAACGGTCATTTACTTAATGTAAACCTAGGCCCGCAGTTTCTTCTTTTACAACAGTAACAATAATGACCAAGCCCCGGAGTTAGATACAGATTTCCTTTCTTTTACGATTTTAAAATGCTTCAGCTACGTCATCTACCATTCCTGGGCCAAAGTTATTTAAGTAGACAATGGTGAAATTTGAGTTAGAATCTAAGTTACCCATTGATTTTTTTTTTTAAACTAAACTACACTGCTTCTACAGTTCTAGAATACCACATCCCTTTAAATGCATAGTGCCAAAATGAAACAGCTCCTTCTTAAAGTACTACTGAATACAAAAAGAATAAAGCTTTTGTTGCTGGCACATCTTGTTACAAATAGTAGCTTAGAGCTTTCTGGGTAGGGCATTTCTAATATTTTCTTAAACTGGTCAATGCCATTATTATAAATGCATGCAATTAGAGAAACACTTCACTGTGCTTTTGCCAAGGTATTTCTGAAAGAAAAATATTTAAATGTATAATCAACACAAGTTTCTCAGGAAGCACTTGGTTTTCTTATTTTATATTAACAAGCTGTAGGTAAAATTAGGCAACGCTCATTACTAAGTGTTGAAAATTATGATGTGAGAACTTGAAGAAGGGGACAGAAGTTGGTTATTTCTTCTAAACATGATGATAGTGGGATTAACATTGGGTCATCAACTCTTTAAAGAAATTACCTCTTATGTAGACATCATATTTCCCCATCTTAATCTGATTATATTAACAGAGGAAGGGGCACATGTTACCAAATGGGGACGTTCAGACTTGACCTGGAAGGCTAATGGTCACAGCACAGTTTGACAGGGAAGAGCCTCGAAGTCACAGGACTAGCAAAAGACACATGACTTGAGCCCTGGGCGATTCATGGGGAATGAAGGGGAGTGGGCTGTAAGAGAGGTTACGATTCATTTGTGTAAGACCTCGTAAGGCACTGAAAGGAGTTTAGGCTTGCCTTTCTGGCAAAGGGAAGCCATCAATGAAGGGAAGTGTGGCACAATCAGGTGCGGTCTTCCTAAGATCTTTCTGGCATTGGCTTAGAGGAAAAAATAAGTGGAAAAGAGGAAAGTGTTGGAGAGAATCCTTAGAAAACTATGATAGTGAGTCAGTGAAAGGTGAAAGCCTGAACCAAGGTGGTAACTTGGGAAATAAGAAGGCTGTAGATGACAGGAGTCACTGAGATGGTAAAACTGGCAGTATTTGATGGCTGGTGATGGGGAGGGGTGCGGGGTAAGAATGTGTGTTATATTAAGCATTTTTTAAGTTTTTATTAAGGCTTCTTTGGTATAGTGGTAGACATAAGAATATTCTGTTTAGCATTAGAATGGTTGGTCACCTTTGGTGAAAAGCTACAAGACATTGACCTTGCTTTGTTTCCTTGCAGTATGTTTCAGGTGTCTGAGACACAGACACCTGAGTATCTAGAGCACTCAGTGTTTATCTCCCTGGCAAATTGTTGGGTCAGGGTTCTGGCTTACAGCATGGGAACCGCATAAACCATCTTCTCATACCAGACCATTGGAAAATTCCTTGGGCAGACAGTCTCTGGTAGCCACAAAATTAACTGATTTTAATTTTAATAATTAAAATTAATTTAGCCAAAGCTTTGGCATTTCCTGCAATGATGTGTGCGCCTTGCTCAGAATTATCTGTGATTTTAGGGATGCTCTCTTGACCCATGTAATCTGAGTTGGCATTACTAAGCTGTTACTTTAGAATGCTCTTGATCATTTATTCATTCCAGATACCTTTATTAAAGCTGGTGTCCTAGGGGATTCAGAATAACTATGGTGGCTTCTACCCTGAAGAAGTACAGTCAGGTGTAGAGGGAAGACAATGACGCAGATAACTGAGATATAAGGAAACAGTGTTGATAATCTCCAGAGAGATACACAGAAGTCAGAAGAAGAATTTACACCCAGGGAAACAGGATTCTCTGTTACAGCAGAGGTAAAGTGTGATGTGAGAGCTGGGCTAGAGCGGACTCAAGTCTGATGGCTTCTGGCTGCGTCTTCTCTCCCCAGTCATTGCAGGAGGCAGGGCTGATAAGGACAGGAACCTGGGACATCCAGAATCATGATAATCTCAAGAAAGAGGAATGACCAGGACCACCCTGCATGGAACAGACAGAACAATTACATAAGGAAGGGATGGTGGTGGCAGATGTGGGAAGGATAAAAGAGAATGCGAAGGTGCCTGCTTCGTTTGAGTCCTAAGTTAGATTTGAACAGCATGTAAACTGCTCATACTTTTGTAGCCGTGAAATAGCCGTATTAAAGAATATATCTAGAGGTGGATAGTTTTCTGGGACACAATGTACTATTGCCCAGAAGAACCAAACTATTCCTAAAATGTAGCTTTGGTAGCGTATTGACTTGTAGTGTATACATGGCAGTAGTAGCTGCTAAAGTGAGTTCCTAAATTCTGAAGTGCAGAAATGTGGGTCTGTAAAATGCGTGTGAGAGCTCTGCTAAGCAGTGCTTCCCTAGGGACTCTGTCTATAGCCCTCCCTCTCCCCACCGGTTTTCTCCAGTTCCTTTGTTAAGACTGAGGACCCACCCTACTTCCTTCCCCTTTTCCCATTCACTTATGAAATATGGGTGGGAAGGGGATTTTG